CTGCTCTCTCTCTTTCTCTCTCTCTCCCACATACACACACTCTCTCAGGAAATCAATGAAAAAAATATCCTCTGGTGAGGATTAACAACAACAAAAAATAAAATGCCTAGGAATAAATTTAACCAACGAGGTAAAAAATGTGTACTTAGAAAACTATAAAACATTGAAGAAACTGAAGAAGATACAAATAAATGGAAGGCTATACTGTTACCATGGATAGGAAGAATTAACATCATTTAAATGTCCATACTACCCAAAGCAGTCTACAGGTTGAATGCGATCCCTATCAAAATACCAATGGCATTTTGCACTGAACTAGAACAAATAAACCTAAAATTTATATGGAACCACAAAAGACCCTGAATAGCCAAAACGATCTTGAGAAAGAAGAACAAAGTGGGAAGTATCATACTACCTGATATCAAACTATACTACAAGGCGATAGTAATCAAAACAGCATGGTACTGCCCTGGCAGGTTAGGCTCAGTGATTAAAGTGTCTGCCCGCGTACTGAAGGGTCCTGGGTTTGATTCCGGCCAAGGGCACCTACCTCGGTTGTGGGCTCCATCCCTGGCCTTGGATGGGGCACCAGCAGGAGGCAGCTAATTGGTGTTTTTCTCTCTCTCTCCCCACCCCACACTCTCTCTGAAAAGCAATGGAAAAGATATCCTCTGGCAAGGATTAAAAAACACACACACAAAAAAACCCTAGCATGGTACTGGCATAAAAACAGACACAAATCAATGGAACAGAATAGAGAGCCCAGAAGTCAACCCACACCTACATGGTCAATTAATCAACGACAAAGGAGTCAAAAATAAACAATGGGGTAAAGGCAATCTCTTCAATAAGGAAAAGGAAAACTGGACAGATACGTGCAAAAGAATGAGACTGGATCATTGTTTTACACCATATATAAGAAGAAATTCAAAATGGTTTAAAGAGTTAAATATAAGACCCGAAACCATAAAACTCCTAGAAGAAAAAGTGGGCATCTTAGACATCTCTCTTAGTAATATTTTTTTGATATATCTCTTTGGGCAAGGGAAGCAAAAGAAAAAATAAATAAATGGGACATCAAATGAAAAAGGTTTAGCAAAGCAAAGGAAACCATCAATGAAACAAAAAGACAACATACTGTATGGGAGAAGATATTCGCCAATGATACATCTGATAAGGGGTTAACATCCAAAACTTTAAAGAACTCATACAGCCCTGGCTGGTGTGGCTCAGTTGGTTGGAGCCAGCAAATGAGTCCATACACCAAAAGGTGGAGGGTTCGGTTCCCCATCAGGGCACATACCTAGGTTTTGGGTTCGATCCCTGGTTAGGCGAGGCAACAGATGGATGTTTCTCTCTCACTTAGATGTTTCTCTCTCTCCCCCTCTTCCTCTCCCTCCCTCCCTTCCACTCTCTCTAAAAATCAACGGAAAAAAATATCCTCAGGTAAGGATTAACAGCAATAACGAAAAAAGATATATACACCCCTATGTTCACTGCAGCATTATTTACAATAGCCAAACTATGGAAGCAACCTAAGTGTCCGTTAATAGATGGATGAATGGCTAAACATCGATTGGTCTAAAATGGTACATACTACATACAATGGAATATTAGCCATTTTAAAAAATGAAATCTTGCCATTTGTGACAACATGGATGGACCTAGAGGGTATTACTCTAAGTAAAGTAAGTCAGACAAAGACAAATATCATAGGGTTTCACTTATATGTGAAATCTAAAAAATAAACTAAATGTACAAACAAAACAGAAACGAACTCAGATACAGAGAACAAACAGATGATAGTCAGATGGAAGGGGCATTGGGGGTTGGGTGAAAAATGTGAAGGGATTAAGAAGTAGAACTTGCCAGTTATAAAAACAGTCATGGGAATGTAAAGTACAGCAGAGGGAATATAGTCAATAATATTGTAACAATTATGTATAGTGCCAGGTGGGTACTAGACTTATCAGGATGATCACTTTATAAGGTATACAAATGTCTAATCACTCTGTTGTACACCTGCAACTAACATAATATTGTATGTCAGCTGTAATTGGAATATTTAAAAGAATTTAAATAGCTCTAAATTTTTTAAAAAGAGGGTAACATAGTGAATTATTTACAGGTAAAATTATATAACATATGAGGAGGAATAAAGGGTGTAGATGAAACCAGACTGACTATATGTTGGTAATATTGACGTTCAGGGGTTGGTATGTGAGGTTGCAGTATTCTTTCTACTCTGTGTATGCTTGACATTTTCCATTAAAAATGTTTTAAAATTTTCTCCATTTTGTAAATTGAGAAATTTCATAAATTGAAATTTAGATTTTGTGAGATTGTTTCCTGTCTTTACTCAACTTCATTTATTGATGTCTTTTGACCATTACTGAGTTTCACAATTAAGTGGAGAGTTAGAAAACTAGAACTGTGTTTAGAGATCTCCAAATATATTTAGGGAAGTGTCAAGAAAGTGGGAATCTCCAGCACAAAGAAGTGTTGCATAATATAATATAATATAATATAATATAATATAATATAATATAATATTTCAAAACAAAGCTTTAATAACCTCAATTTTTCTGTAAATCTAAAGTGTCCTAAAAAATAAAGTCTATTAAAAATATAACTGCCCTGGCCAGTATGGTTCAGTTAGTTGGGTGTTGTATCATGCCAGTTGGATTCCTGGTCAGGGCACATGCCAGGATTTCTAGCTCCATCCCCTGTAGGGGGTGCACAGGAGGCAGCCGATGGATGTTTCCTCTCATATAGATGTTTCTCTCTCTCTCCCTCTCCCTTTTTCTCTCTCTTAAAAATCAATAAAAAGTCTTTAAATATATATATATATAACTTTAATAATAATTTTTAATATTAATGCTTAAGAGTAAGAGTAAAAGCAATGTACAAAAGCAAGCATGGTTGCAGATTAATCTGGACCAGTAACCTGTATAAATTAAGCATGGAGTTAAATTCTTCTGAAGGCTAAATTAGGAAAGAGCAGGAAGGAAGGAGCAAGTAGTTAGAAAGAGTATCTGCATAGGATTTGCATGGGTATATGATGGGTCCTGTTGCCTAAGTCACTGACTGACATCTCTGGGAATCAAATCAGAACTCCCTCCTGGAGGTCACAATGGGCATGTTCACTAGTCCTATCTCCACAAAACCTAGAGTTGACATTTATGGTTGGTTGGTTAAACTAGCAAACTTTCAAGGTCTTTTCAGCACACCAGCCTGCGGTTGGGGGAACTAGGAAGACAGGTGAGATGACGGTGGAGCAGTGTGCTTGGACCAGGTTGAGCAGGGCCTTAAATTTCTCTCTTGTTCATGCAGCTAATAATATTCTCATCATAAGAGTGAAACCTACATCGAAGTATTACTGAGCAAAACTGAAATGCCTCTTCACTCCAACTGGATATCCAGTACCCACCCACTAAGGAAACCACTACCCATAGCTTGGGCCTAACTTTCCAGTTCCTCCTTGACTTTCAAGTCTCAAATAAATAAAAAAAAAAAAAAAAAAGAAAAGAAAATCCCAAAGCACAAATCCCATGATGGTTCTCCAGGTCTCCCAGGACCCTGTGTTTTAATGCCAGAGCACCTTGCAACCAGCTGTGACTAGCCATTTGCCATCTGTTGGTCCCCTAGATTGTAATCTCCGGACGGCCAAGGCTGGGTTTTACTGCATCTGGTTGCATTGGCGCTTGGCACAGCGCTGGCCATGACGAGGCTGTTTACTGAGGGCGACTGGGTGAAAGTCGCAAAAACCTTGATAAATGAAGTCTGCCTTTCCCCGGCCGGTTCATACCTAAGGGAAATTTAAGGGGCCCAGCCTCTAAGTTGTGGTCCGGTCAGGTCACACAAACTCTGGCAGCCTGAACGCAAAGGCTCCTCAAATGAAGAGAAATGCCTAAGAAATGCGCTGAAGCCAAGGGGCCTGGTGGCAAAGGCTCTGGCCTTGCGGGAAAGATGCAGCGAGGCCGTGGGACTCAGTGTCCCCTCTCCGAGCCTCGTGGAGGAAGAAACTCCTAACAATGGGATTCACAGCGTCTGCCCGGTTTAGGTGAAGAAACTTTGCAGGATGGACCGGGAGCAAGGTCTCCGTGCTCCGAGGCCCCGGCTGCCCACCCGCCGTGGCCCGGTGGCTGCGGCCCCGCTGTCCAGCCCGTCTCGCCCCCGGCCCCGGCCGCAG